AAGGCTCCTTGATTAAAACTTAGTGTTTTTAACAACACCATGGCACCCTGGATTGAAATTTAAAATAGGATTTGTTTTTAAGCGACAATGTCAAAAGTTGACATATGATATGTCATTCTATTCAGAGTATCATTTTTTATCGAATAAAGTAGCAATATACCGAGGGTGCCTTTAAAAATCAAAAGATGTAATCATTTCGGTGAAACAGGAAGAGACCAAAAGCAATTGAATACGTAAATAAATCCTAATTTATGTCATATACCTACTAACATACAAATCTGTTTTTTTTATCTGAAAAAATAAAAAAGTTATATTGGTGAGCCACTTTTGAGACGACCCGGTATATTAAAAAAATATTGTTTCATAATGTAATATCATTTTCAAATTCTTGTATGTTTATTTTAGATTCTGAAGATAATTTTAGAATAAACCGGAATATATTTTTAATAAAAACATTATTAATTATTAACAGGGTTATAATTATGATTTTGTTACAATGTAAGTAAGTAAATAATGTAATGTAAGAGAAAAAATTCATATTTTACATTTTACTAAAATATTATCTAAATAAGCGCCTTTTTACAACAACGCCACTGACTCCCAATGGGTAAATTGAGAGTTGCCTACCGGTCAAAAGTCGAAAAGACTTAAATGGATTATTTAAGTCAAATTTCTTGCAAATTTGGCACTGGCGAACCATATTTTATAGTTCTTGAACAGAAAAAGTCAATAAAATAAACACTTAAGGACTACAAGCTAAGAAAATGCGTTAATACAGCCGGGGAGATAGCGGCAACAAAGCTTTACCGCACACGTGCGACATGTACTACAAGGTAATAAATTGAATGAATAGGCTCCCTCGTCTCTAATCGGTGTTGACATATTGTAAAGAACTTATCCTTTTTAAACAGTATCCGACTTATAATTTAGTAGTATAAGGACTATTTAATACATCTCTGGAATATTAAAACTTACTTTATTAAACTGTAGTATTAATATCTCAATATATGTGTATAACAAGAAAAAAAATATTGATAATATTAAAGACGTGACAACATAGGCTGGATGAGGAAGGCCCGGTCGACTGTACCCAGAAGTAAACATGTGTACAAAAAATATTGTCTGTCCGCGTTGAGATGTAAATAGTGTAGTCTATATTTTATTTTAAGTCTATGGTGTGAAATGACTTAAAATATAAAAATCAGGTTAGCCATAATGTCACAAGATTTCCATGGCACACTAAGTAAAAAAAAAAGAAAGTGAAAGGGGATTACTTTTCCTCGCTCGGCTCTTATTATACGATGATGTCCACCAACGCCTTTTTTTCTTTCCCTTTTGATTCATAAGTAAATAATACCCGTTAAAAAGAATGACAGCGGCTGCGGCAACAGTTTTTTCTTCATCTGACATTACTGATAATTATCCAAAACAAGTTGTTGATAATCACAAAATGGTAGGTAATCACCAATCCCGAACACTAGTAACCTCAAAAATAGGTAAACAGATGATTGGTTTTCAAAAGGTACTCGGGCACAAACACGCCGTGGGAAGAGTTCCGCCTGCAGTCCGTGATATCTACGCGTCGCCCGTTTTTCCGTCGCGGCGCGGCGCGGCCTGTAAAACTACAGGCCGTGGGAAGCCACCTTTACACGGAGTGTGGAATCCCGCGCCAGGACGCGCCTGAACCGTGAACTGCCGCTCTGCACGCCGTGTGAATGGGTCGGCGCGGGGATCCTCGGGGGGCGTTTCGTTCCCGTCGACTGGCGGTAAACTGCACACTCCAAAGCAAACGCGCCGCGAACAATTTGCGTCAGTAATATTTTGAATTTAATTAAATTTAATTGTTGCATAATTTATTTAAATATCTCTATTTAATGTGAAAATGCATAATTTGATATTCGCTTAAAGAAATCTATAAATATCATATTAATTAGGTGGAAAAATTTACTGAAAATACAGGGTATACCAATATACTCTACCATGTTATTGTTTAAAAGAATTATTATTATTTATTCTAAATGTTATATAAAGGGTAAGGAACACTAGATAAATTTTGCTGAGGTGATTTTGAGTAATAATTACTGTATTTTTTAATAATGTTTATTGCATTTATACTTCTAAAGATGCGGTTTTCACATCACTATGCTACTTTTCATGAAACCAAAGATGCTACAAGAGTTGTCCTAGTCTTCTTAGTTCCTAAAGTACAGGGAGAATTTTAAAATGTTGCATTTTTCGATCCCATCGTATATTGGTTAACTTATCGAAAAGGTGAAAACTTAGTCTTGTTGAGTTTTTATATAGAATCCAGTGACATTAACTAGTTTCGCTTGTAACTCTCATTTTCGAAATCTGACTTCTATTTGTAAATGACACCCAGTGTATTATTTTTTTTATTTTATTTGCCTTGGTTATGGCTTTCTGAAAATACGATATACTCTAACTATTTTCATAATTAAGGTAAAAAAATCGTTATTTAACTTTTGAACATAAATAAACCTGGTTTAAAAAAGTATTATTATCTTATTTAATTTAACCAGATGATTTTGCTTTCCACTCTGTTATCTTAATAAATTGCACTGAAAATAAAGTTGGGGAATACATTATTCGATTGTATTAATTTAAACCCAGTTTAAACCGATAATCTATGTTAAAAAGTTATACCTATAATGCATTTTTTGTATCTGCCTGTCGGTCGGTCGTCCCAACGGCGCACAGTGCGGTGGATGATAAGTCTAGCGGGACAAAACCGTTTTGTTTGTAAAAATAAGCCAAAAAATGTGTACTAATAAGAATAAATAGTGTTCATTCCAACTGATATAAAAATGCATAAATTATTTTTTGGTCGTATACATTTTTATAAACCAAATTTGATCGTTTTCTGCTCAGCCAGGTAGAGGTCATATGAAAACAAAATATTTACAAGTGCATACATTCTATTCCAAAACCAAATTATGTTGGAGATTGCCAAAGGTATGTAAAAAGGCGTTTTAAAACTAACATCATCTCTTGACCGTTTTGTGGGATATCGTGACGCAATTTTTAGATCCCAACTCTCTTAGTAACGAAGAAAAGAAAGGTGTTAAGACCCATCGAGGATCATTTTCCCTTGTTTTTTTTTTTCAAGTTCAAGCTCAACAGGTGGACGCCCAAAAGTTTTATTTCAATTGGCTAGTATAATAACGAAACAAAGACTCATTAAAGGGTTAATTGAAGAGCATTGAAAATAAGAATTAGGTTTTGCAAGTAATATAAGCTTTAAGGCTAGTGGGAGTAGGAATACTGTTGTAATCGTTAAAACCTTAACTGAAACTCCATCGAAAGACACAGAAGTTAAAAAATCAATGAATGATACCGATAGTCAGTTCGGCAATTTTTCTCAAGACAAAAACATTCAAATGATGTTCTAATTAAATAAAGCATGACTATATGCAAAAGTCTGTTTTAATTTCTCATAATTTCTAATAAAAACTAAATGATTATTACTAGTTTTAATAAAAGTTTTAAAAATTGTCTTAGATACTTACTATATATGAATTTACAATTACAGAGTGTTAAAATTAAAATAACTATTTTATTTATTTTTAAATAAAAGAGAATTTCTTAAAATAAAATATACAGGGTTTCACAAGATCACAAAGTAATTAAAAAATAACTGCTAAAATATTTTTTTAAGCATTTACCTGATATCATAATTTTATTTATTTAGCAATAGTTTACAGTACGGTTTTTGTGTGTCACGTACGAATAATATAATAGTTTTATTATCTTGTATTTATTTATTTATTAATAAATTAAGTTGTTAATAAATAAATAAATTTAACTCATATGGGTGCTATACATATATTAAACCATTTGCTACGTTCTTAGATTTTAAGTCCCAAACATCGCTACTGAGGTTTTGTCCCGCTATAATTACCATCCGCCACACTGTGAGGCGCGGCGCTCCACGCCCCTGGAGCGTGGATCGGCGCTCCACACGCCGTGTAATGGCATCTAACGAGTTTAACAGTTTACTAATAAAGTACTTTTTGATATTAAACTCCAATGAAAAGAAGAAGCAAACGTAAAAACAGAGAATAGGTCCATTAAAAATGCATAAGAGATAAATTTTATAATAGAGGTATTGAAATTAAGAAAACGTCAACAGTTGACGTTTCCAGTATTTTACCAAACCGTTCCGTATCAAACCGATGTTTTTTAGGAACCGCTCTTTACCGTAGTTTATACTTATACCGAAGGTTCGCCTGGTTTTGCAACGGAATACAGTCTAAGTAACGCTTTGTAATATTGGCCCTGATTACTACTTATTCTTGTATTCTACACTGAACAAATTATCAAACTTACTAATTTATCAAACAAAAAGAAAAAATAACAAAATTATCCCTTCACCTACTACTTAACTATAAAATAAACTATATAAAAACACTACTAAACTATTTTTGGTAGACTACACTTTGGTAGACAAACATGCTACACTAAACACTATAATCAAACTTAATAAATTAATCTAATTTTACACTACACCTACAAAGAAAAAAGAAATATGGACATTTTCTAAAACTAGAAGAAACAGAACTTGCATACGTGCGACCAGGATAATAGGTCAAGGGGACAAAGAATATAAAATACTTTAAAATGTGCATTCAGAAAGAAAAAATACCTCGAAAATTATCTAAACAAACATTTTTATTTCTTATCAGTGAGAAGCATCGGCCTTGTCGGCGTTGAAGAATTTGTCGGGTATTTACAATGGTCGAATTGTATAATTGCCAGCTTTTATAGCATATCTAATGGCCAAAAAGTATCTGGTCGATTAGTAACCAATTGGCACAGTCTGAAAATTATCGATTTTTATTTTCTCTCTTTTCCGCTTCAAAATTCAGAGTAACAAAAAATATTTTTCTGTAGGGAAACCGGTCCTGCCATCTAGTAGTCTTAGTCCATAAACGTCTTAGGTTGATTTACTCTAAAAATATATATACAAGGATTATACTTACATCCGGAGCCTTGAGACAGGGCAAAAATCATCATGGCCATAGCTATGGAATAGAGACATTTACCGAGAGACCAATATATAGCGCTTTGGAAGGCAGTATATTGATAATATGGGTCGTAGAAGATATAGGCGACGAACATCACCGATAGGGCCATTGTAAATGATAAAATCCACCAGAGGGCGACAACTACCTACAAAAATAGTCTCCCTTAAATAGTAATTATTGATGTAAAAATGTCTATACCTATGTGGCAAATTTTACATTGGTGAAACATCTAGACCCTTAAATGTTAGAATTAAAGAACTTAAAGATTATTTAAGAAAGGGAGATTTTCACAAATCTAAGATTTGTCAGCATTCATGGGACACAGGGCACAGAATAAATTTTAATAACGCCAAAATTATAATAAAAAAAGTGATAGCCTCTAAAAGAAAAATAAAAGAGGCTTTTCTAATTCAATCTAAAAAAATAAATGTATTGCTCATGCATCTGTAGATGTTAGTAATGTATAGCAATCGCTTCTTTGATTTTAAAGAACATAACATAAATAAACATAACATACGTAAAATTTAAAAATAATCATACAGAAAGTTTGGGCTTTTTGGTTTTACCTTATTAAGTAATTGTTATCAGGTAGTAATTGTTAATTTTGAAGTTTAACCATAGACAAACAAATAAAAAGAGACTGACAAATCTCATGGTAAAGAGTGGAACCGCGTTCCCTTAGCGCAACTCAGAATAACAATTTTGAAACCAATTAGCAGGACCATGGCAGGACGTACGTCTTTATTGCTATCTTTCTTTGTTATGTATACTTTATATGAAAAAGAAAGAGATAGGTATAAAACGTATCGTAAGACATTATCGCACATTCTGGATGGCGGAAAATTTAAATTAGCCATTATTAGTATTATTCTTTCATTCTGAAATTGAAAATTTTCACTTAAACTGATTTATTCCCTATACCACGTAAAGAGAACGTGGTGTAGGGAATAAATCAGTTTAAGTGAAAATTTGCAGTTTCTTTCAGAACGAAAGAATACTATTATAAGGGGAATTATAAAAAAAGCAAAAATTGTACTGTTTTATAAATATATTTATTTATACATAAAAATAAATAAACTTTTTATAATATAATAACAAAAAATAACAGTGTTTATTCCACCCACCTACCAATTTTAAATGCAGAAGAAGACTGTTGCAGGAAACGATCGGTCAATTTTTTTAAAGGGCATTAAAAATCTCATTTTCGAAAAAACTGCCCAATTGCAATAACAAAGTGAATATCCAAGCAAAGAAGACTTTACGAGAATCATGATCCTGAACCATTTTCAAGTCCAGTTTTAATCCTAAAACAAAAGTAAAATAGGTATATTAACACAGATACTTAATAAAGTTTCTGGTTACTACCGTATGATCGAAAAAAAACGGCGTCCAGTTGGCTGGGAAATGAACATCAATGACATTTCCCATATAAATTTACATATAAAATGACAGCGATCTTCATTCCATAGCCATCGCTGACGCCGTTTTTTCTCGATCATACGGTATAAATCAGCTATAAATTACCTACCCAAAAAATGAAAAAAATTAATTGTATTAATTTGTTATGTTAAGAGAGGTTCGAAATATTTTTGACACTACTACTTCTACTTTTTACTTAATAAGATGATAAATATAACTATATACTTACTTTTATTTTACCGGGGGTCTTTAACATATCTATCAAAGAAAGGGGGCACCAATACATATAGAAAATAAATGATACTGGCTCCTGCAACAAGTAAAATAACAAATAGTATAACCTAAAATTATAAGTAACAAAATATAAATACCTATATGGAACAAAGGAATTTGTTCCCTATCCATATTCATAAGTCAATAAGATGGAGAGTTTAGAAAAAAAGGTAAATCACCAAAAGAAAAATTAACAAACATCACGAATTGTCATGATCATGTCATGATGTTGTAATCTTGGTTGTCATGATGACGAAAACGAAAGGCGATTGTCCTAATTTCTATTTAGAAATTACGTTTTATATGGCTGCTTCTTTCTCTCTTGTTATATTAGAATGAGATAGTGGGCCCAATAGACGCAATGCGCAGATCAACATAAATAGAACGAAATTTTGCGTTCTGAGTTGCGCCACGGGAACGTTGTCCCACTCTTTGCCATTTAATTTGCCAGTCTCTTTTTATTTGTTTGTCTATGAGTTTAACTTGATATAATGTCATTTTAACAGAACGTCAACGGTTTCTTCAACGTTAAGCATTTTTTTCTTTGTTAGGCAAATGTGTATAACTGTAAACATAACTTCTGACAAGCAGTGTCCGTTTAGGTTTAACGCAGAAGTGTTTACAAAAAATAACTATTTTATTTTGTAGATTTTCTTGCAGTGCAGTGGCGAAATACCCATTAAGGCTTTTTTTGGAGAGTACTTGATGTATTTATAATTGTGATATTAATTATATTGTGAAGCTTGGCGTTATGGAGTAAAGTTGAGTAGTCAATGTTATTTTTTGTTAACAGTGCTCTTGCATTTTCTAATTTTATTTATACAAAATCATATATATCAACCAAATTCCAAAAAATATATACCTACTTACCTTATTTTTTGTCATATCTTTATCCTTGTATTGTACAAAGAAATATCCACAAAGCATTCCAACGGAAAAGCCAAAAAGATTTGTGTAGGTTGCATCTAACATTACCACATAAACGTCTATTTTTATGCTGTCCAACATGTATAAATACCTAATAATAAATACCTATAAGTTATATAGCCACATGTCCTGCAGGATAGGATGACAGATGGACGGTGGACAAAGAGACTTGTGGAATGGAGACCGAGACACGAGGCCTATAGAAGCAGAGGAGGACCTCCTAGTCGATGGACAGATGATATTAAGAGAGTAGCTGGAAACTGGATTCAAGTGGCACAAAATAGAAGGAAATGGCTAGAGTTAAGGGAGGCTTTTGTTCAGCAGTGGACGGTATAAGCTAAATGATGATGATGATGATGATAAGTTATATAAGTTGATTAAGCAAAATTATACATCAAATGAGAAAAAAAGTTAAAAAATAATAAAAACCAATAAAACAATAAAGAAACCAAAGCAAGATTAATGATGTATAAAACAACCTCAGAGTTCCCAACTGGCAAAGGAGTACGAAAGGGGACGCAATATCCCCAAAGTTGTTTACAGCAACACTGGAAGATATCTTTCGTCAATTAGACTGGACCAACAAAGAATTAAAAATAGATGGAGAATATCTCAACCATCTAAGATTCGCAGATGACCTAGTCCTAAAGTCCTGAAGAACTACAAACTCAAATTAACGAACTAAATACAGTTAAATAAATTTAACAAAAACTAAAGTAATGTACAACTAACTAGTAGACAGAAAAGATATTCTAATAAATAACACCAAACTGGAAATATTAAGTAAAACTGGTAATACAGATATTTGGAACAACTAATACACAGCTCGGGATCTCTGCTACCAAAAATCAAGAGAAGAATTAAGTTAGCATGGAGTACTTATGGAAGAAACTCAATCATATTCAAATCTAGAATTTCACTTTATCTAAAGAAGAAAACATTCGACCAATGTGTACTACCAGTCATGACCTATGCATGCGAAATCTGGACTCTTAAAACGGACATTATAAGAAAACTGCAGGACGCACAACGCTCAATGGAACGAAATATGCTGGGAATAACCAAGAAAGACCTTAAAAGAATAGAGTGGATACAACAAAAAACCCAGGTAATTGATGTCATCCACAGAATCAAATCCCTCAAGTTGCAATGGGCAGGACAGCTGACAAGCGGGCTCGAACACACTGACGACCAGGTCGCACCGGCCAGGCCGCTGCTACCCCTAAAACCATTAAATCAAATCATACCGCGCACACTAACGTCCTGGCCGTCCGTTGGTCGTTGCGACCAGTAGACTGCACGAAAATGTTATAATTTTCTGCCGCTTGTTGCCGGTTTTCTTCCAAATTAATAATTTTTCAGATGAAATCCTTCAAATTCAACGCACAATATTTTTATTTTCAATAAGATATAGTGTTTTAGTGTAGTTTTTGCACACGTGCAGAAAATCCAAAGAAATAGTATAAATAAATAAATACTAAATAAATGCTTTTATTGTCAAAACATTTTTCAATTTGTAGACAAAGGTAAACTGAACAAGCAAAGTAAAAAAATAAGGTACACAAACAAACAAACAAAAGATAATACAAAACATTATACAAATAATATTGTCAGTCTTATTGTTTAAAATAAACATTTATAAATGTTTACAATGTCAAAGAACAAAAAAATAAAAATAATATTCAAAAATATTTAGTTAGTTTATAGTAAATATCAATAACCTCTAAATAAATTTATTTCGATGTCATTAGCAAATATAGCAATAGCAAACATTAGACCAGTGTTTACAAGATCAAATTCGATTTTCAAAATATAATTCATTTACGGCGTAGAAAGCCTTGTCTAGTAAATAAGAGTTCATTGCTTTGCGAAATGAAAAAAATGATGTTATGGATTTGATTTCAAATGGCAGGTGATTGTGCATTTTTTTCGAGTTGTATAATATTGAATTTTTAACTACCTCTGAGCGTGTGGTAGGTAGATAAAGATCTTGCTCCGCGTTCCTGAGTGGATAAGTGTGAGATGGCCTTTCTTGAGAAACTGATACATGTTTACGTATTAGGCAAACGGATTCAAATATAAATAAGGAAGGAAGAGTCAATATTTTTAATTCTTTAAAAAACTCCCGGCAATGGGTTCTGCTGTTTAGGCCCAGTGAATATCGAACAGCTCTCTTCTGGAGCTTGAAAATGCGGTCAAATTGAGTCGCACAACACGTACCCCAGAATGGAAAGGCATACCTGGGGTGCGACTCAAAAAGTGCATAATAAACAGTTCTAGCCACTGACAAGTTAAGCTCCTTAGAAACAGACCTTAATACAAAACAGGCAGAGCTCAATTTTTTCGACGAAGCTTCGATATGTATGTCCCATTTCAGAGAATTGTCCACAACAAGCCCTAAGAATTTTACAGATTTTACGACGTTAATGGTGGTGTTGTTAAGTACAAATGGCTGCAGCGAGTTTTTATACGACAAAGCTTTAGTTTTAGAAATGTTGAGACTCAGGAGGTTCGAATCGCACCAAGATTTAATGGTGATTAAGTCATTTGATATAATCCTATGAAATGCCGTGATGTCCTTGTTGCTCCAAGTGAAGCTAGTGTCGTCCGCAAGAAGACATATTTTGCCACTGATGTTTATGTTAGCAATGTCGTTAATAAAAAGAAGAAACAAAATAGGGCCTAGTTCTGAGCCTTGTGGTACTCTACATTCTAGTGGCTTGCTAGGAGACAACGTGGTATCCACCCTCACAAGTTGACTTCTGTTGCTCAGATACGACTTAAACCATTCGAGAGATGATCCCCTGAACCCATAGTGCTGCAGTTTATTAATTAGGATCTTATGATTTACACAATCCAACGCCTTAGAAAAATCACAGAAAATTGTTGCTGTAGAATAATGGTTGTTTAGGCTGGAGTAAACTTTATTAAGCAGGGAAAACATAGCGTCATTTGTGGACTTGTTGCTTAGAAATCCAAATTGATGTTCAGTAAGTATTTTGTACTTAAACAGAAAAGATACCAGCCTTCCTTTAACCAACCTTTCTATGATCTTAGATAGCGTTGGAAGGAGTGCAATTGGGCGATAGAAGCTTCATCTTTGTCTCCTTTATGCAGAGGAATGATTATTGCCATCTTAAGACATTTTGGAAAAATATCATTTTGGAACGACATGTTTATTAAAGTTGTTAGGTGATTCAGAGTGCTTTCTGGCAGATTCGAAAACATTTTTAAAGTTAGCCCGTCGGTCCTAGAATAGGATTTATTTTTGATTGTTAATTGTACTGCAAAGCTCTTCTAAAACTACGGGCGAAAAAAATGCTTATTTTTGATAGGCCTAAGAGGAAAGGATTTTAACGCTAGACTGACGACCTTTTTTACGATGGCCCTAATATGTTTACATCTAAAGTCGATAAGAGCCATCAGTAGAAGTCCATATCAGTAGAAAAAAGGAACAGAATATGTCCCTTTTTGTCGGTCGCGCATACACAATGCTTTTTGTTGGAGCTAAAATGCCTAAGTCTGGACGCACCTTTAGGAACGATACAGTTTTTATCCTTTATTGATATAATGCTGAAAATCTCACTAGTTACATGTCTCACTCTACACATATTAAATTACATAGACGTAGGATGTAGAATATTCTGTTATGAAACGATTGATGGAATAGCAGGCATCGCGGATTTCAAAGACATGGAAATAACGACGTTATCGTATAGTCGGGGTTGGAGATTTTACTTACTCCATTTACCACACCAGTATTTATTAACGAAAAATCCAAGAATATTTTAAATGCATTATTTAATATTAGAACATTTAATAAGCTCATTATAGCAACTTCGCTTTTTAGTTAACTCGGATATTTTAACATTTCTGAAACTTAATTCTTTCTGAAACAATATTTTCTAATTGGTAAAACGTAAAAAATCGTTAGATCTGACAACTCTGTTGAAACTGGTCGTTCATCTGGCCGCAGCTATAAACGCAATACATCCGGCCAGCCAACGGCCAGGTCGTTGCGACCTGGTCGTCAGTGAGTTAGAACCCGAAGGACGGACAACAGATCGACCACAAAAATTTCAGCATGGTACCCACTAGAAATTAAGAGACCTAGAGTAAGACCAAACCTGAGATAGGACCATGAAGTAAATTAGCGGGATAACTTGGGCATAGCCAACAATAGACAACAAAGTACAAAAAGAGTACCTAAACATGTGAGAGAAGCTACACCAAAATTGGAAATGGTTGAATAAGCTGAGAATGGTGATTATAATGATTTGCAGAAATCTTACACAAGTTACTTACTCAGGGTATTGTCTGTATAAAATATCGTATTTCCTAATATAGGCCACGATTCCAGGTACAATAAGACCGATTCCCAAAACAACACCAAATATATGCAGTACTCTATCTGGATATTTGTGTATTATGAACAGTACCACCATAGCTAGTATGAAGATTTGCATGTCAGCCGATAAGTACCAACTATGCTGCATACACTGAAACAAATAAATACAAATTAACATTAACAAATATCTATATATATTTTCCTTTACTTCTTAATTATTAAAACTTGGTTATATGCTCAAATAGATCAATAGTTTGTCCATTCTCAAAAGTCTATCTCTAAAATACCTTGTCGTTTTCTACATTACCTATTTGCCATTTTTACAAGAACACTTACAAATAATATCTTTTATAATTACACAGGCCGACATGATTTTTGTAACACGAGTCAGTTGCAGAATTTCTTCATAAAAATATGCTTCTAATAACAGAAAAAATACTCCTGAAGCTCCTACACGTACCACTTTTCAGTTGCCTAATTACGCCTCTTTTTTGCAGGTAGTCAATTTTATAGATGTCAGGTATTAAGTCTAGGTAGATTCGTTTACATACAGGTAAATTTTATGATGGGATGATTGAAAGGGACGCATTTTGTGCACTATAATATATTGTGAAAACATAAGAGAGTTCAGTTTTCAGTTGATTTTCGACGTGAGTTGTTCTATGCGTGTAGATAAATAGTACGAAAATGTCAAGTCAAACGCGCCGCAGTTGTAAAGTGTCTCCTGATCGATTTTGTTACATTTGTGGAGAATTTATGGTGCAATCACAAGCCAGACCATTTTCTGAAAAATGTGAAGAAAGCCTACTTCAAGTATTTTGGAGTTTTGGTTGGAGATCAAGACAAGCAGTGGGCTCCTCATGTGTGCTGCGTTACTTGTAGCGTGTCGCTTGTGCAGTGGATGAAAGGGAAGAGGAAAAAAATGCCATTTGCGGTTCCAATGGTATGGCGAGAACCAACTAACCATTTTGACGATTGCTATTTTTGCCTGACGAAAACTGAAGGTTTTTCCAAAAACAAAAGCACAAGATCAGTATCCCAATTTGCCGTCTGCCATACGACCTGTTCTTCATGGTGCAGATCTCCCAGTGCCGATCGCGCCCTTAGACTGGCAAGGTATTGTTTTTGGAAGATAAGGAAGATATTGAATCAAACAGCTCTGGAGACCAGTGTACTGATCCTACCTTTACCCCAGAGGGCGGTTCCGACAAGCCACATTTGATTGTTCAAAGCGAGTTGAATGACTTAGTGCGTGACTTGGGGTTATCAAAGCAGCAGTCAGAACTTCTTGGATCCCGGCTTAAGGAATGGAATCTGTTAGCCAATGAAACAAAAATCACCACTTTTAGAAAAAGAAATGCTCCGTTCTCTGCATTCTACAGTATGGAGGATTCGTTGTGTGCATGTACTGATATCGATGGCTTAATGCAGGAACTTTCTATAGAACATTCTCCCTGTGAGTGGCGCTTATTCATAGATTCGTCGAAATATAGCCTAAAAGCTGTGTTATTGCATAACGGAAATTTAAAACCCTCTATACCAGTTGCCCATTCAGTGACAATGAAGGAAACTTATGAAAATATGCGCATGCTTTTAGATAGAATCAACTACAACAGGTATAAATGGCAGATATGTGGGGACTTGAAAGTTATAGGAATTTTAGTGGGACTTCAGGGAGGATTTACAAAATATTGCTGTTTTCTTTGTTTGTGGGACAGTCGTGCAGTAAATCATCATTATGTACAGAAAATTTGGCCAGAAAGAAGTGAATTTCAACCGGGTTCCCAAAATGTCAAGTATATCCCTCTTGTAGACCCCAAAGACGTCCTCCTGCCTCCTCTTCATATCAAACTTGGCCTCATGAAAAACTTCGTGAAAGCTATGAATAAAGAAGGTGATGGATTTAAATACCTAAGGCAAGTCTTTCCCCAGTTGAGTGATGCCAAATTGAAAGAGGGTATTTTTATTGGACCACAAATCAGGAAATTGTTGGACGACACAAATTTCACAGACACGCTTACCAGGCAGGAACTCAGAGCATGGACCTCATTTGTTAGTGTAGTGAGGGATTTTGGGGAAACAATAAGGATGCGAACTACGAACAATTGGTTAATGAGCTTTTTAGATGCTTATAAATCGCTTGGTGCCCAGATGTCTTAAAAATTCACTTTCTCCATTCTCATTTGTCATTTTCCCTGAAAATATGGGTGCTGTCAGTGATGAGCAAGGTGAGAGATTCCATCAAGACATAAGGACAATGGAAATTCGTTATCAAGGACGATGGGATCCAGCCATGATGGGTGATTACTGTTGGTTTTGAAGAGAGAAGACGCGGTCCCTCATAAAAGGAAAAAGTAAAAGTTTTGTTTATGTTTTGATCTCGTTTCGATTGTTTTTGTACTTTTTAGGTATAAGTAATGTTTGAGGAGTGTAAACTATAAAATATAATCGGTATATAGGCTTAAGAAGTTCTTAAATCATGTTTTGAATAGCTATCTTAATATATTGAATATTGTAATATTGAATGATGTTTTATTAATGTAACAAAAAAACCTTACGTGTTACGACTTTTTTTTTGCCACTTTCGTGATTAGATAGGTTCATTCTACCACAATATCCTATTGAGCTTTATGTTACATCGAAAAATTTTTTTTTTGTCGGCTTGTGTTACCATAGGTATATGATAAAAAGTGAAACTTTTTACTATTTCATATTTTAGTAGAAAAAATAGGAATTTAGGAAAAATTTTTGGTTATAAGAAATTGACTTAAAATCTATATATCATACAGGGTGCTACAAATTCGAGGTATGAGCATTGGTATCTCGGTAACCGTAATAGATACGAACATGGTCAAAGTTGCGCTTTAGGATGTTTACCAAGATGCCATCAAAAAAGTTTTAAAAATTTCAAGGATTGCTGAGTTTTTTGGAAAAAACATATTTTTTTTGAAAATCAATTTTATTTTTTCCTGTCGTTACTTTTTAGAAAATCGAAAAACCAATTGCACGTCCTCATAGCCACTTTATTAGGGCTATCTGACGGTATTTTTAGATTTTCAAATTAGCTGATAATTTGTGAGATACAGAGGCCAACTTAATTTTTTTAAATACGGACCTGCATTTTTTATTTCAGATTTTGAAAGAACTCGATCTCCTGAGTGCAATGATATGCCACACTTGATACTTTTTTTTTGTTTTGGGTACCTTAATAATAACAAAACTATTTAATTGTTATTTAAAATAATTTCAAATCCGGCTCTGGTTTTTTAATTTATTTAATCAGATTATATTCATCGCAACAATATTGATCAGCGCCAATTAACATTGAATAAGGAAAATCAATAAAAATTGTTTTGGACATTTGAAATCAATACATTTCAACATTAAGAGTACAAAAACAATTAACGAGTAATACAAAACAATTAAAGAGTACAAAATGCATTCGGAAGTATAAGAAGGAGATCTGTTCAAAGAGCTATAAATAAGATTAAACGAAAAACAAATGTGTGCATTATGGAGGGTGGTAACCCTTTCGAAAATGCAGAGCATTAGAAACTGGTTTGTAGAAGTTGATTTATTTATAATATATACGATTAATATTATGCATATTATTAGATCGTACACTGAGATTTCAAATTCACAATAAAAAAAGTTAAAAATAATAGATATCTTTAAATTGCTGACCTGGATATTAATTATTTGAATCTTTCAATTGGCATGATTTTCCTTATTCAATGTTAATTAGAGCTAATCAATATTGTTGTGCTGAATATAATCAGATAAATACAAACCAGAGTCGGAGTTGCTCCCTAAAACCACCAGTGCTAGGAGAAACGGAGATTTCATTTGCCAAAGAAACAAAGTATCTTAGGATATTTTTTGATCAAAGGCTTACATGGAATATTCACATATCGAAAGCAACACAGAGGGCTGCCATCTCTTTAGGTAGGTGCAGAAGGATGTGTGGAAAAAACTGGGGACTTAACCCTAAAATGACTCTTTGGCTATACACAAGAGTAGTAAGACCCATGATAACCTACGGGTCGGTGGCGTGGTGGACAAAGACATCGCAAGTGGGTGCGGTAAGGTTGTTAAGTTCCACACAAAGGCTTGCGTGCCTGTGTGTAACTGGGGCCATAAAAACCACTCCTACAAATGCGATGGAAGTCTTGTTGAACTTACCACCACTACATATTTTCATACAAGGCGAAGCCAGATCTGTCATGCACAGGTTAATTCAGGGTCAGCAGCATATAAGCCAAACGCATAGTGCTGCTAACCAGAAGCTAATCGAAGAGCTAAAAGCAGACAAAGTATTGGGATTACTAGTTGATGCAACAGCTACTAGATATAGCTTCAACAACAAATTTAATATAACCATACCAGGAAGGGAAGACTGGAGTAAAGGTGTACCCATTCAAGCTGAGGCAACCTGGTATACAGACGGCTCAAAAACGTCAGAAGGCGTAGGAGCTGGGATAGTAGGGCCGAAACAAGGGACATCCTTCCACGTAAGCCTATCCAAGGAAGTTACAATTGTCCAGGCAGAAATAACGGCAATCCACTATTGTGTAGAAGAAATAATAAGGCAACAAAGAACAAATCGTTCTGTGGCCATCTTCACAGACAGCCAAGCGGCGCTAAAGGCACTCAGCTCCGCGGAGGTCAATTCTAGACTAGTGTTGGACTGTGTGCGTGCTCTGAATACTTTGGGCGAAAGTAGCACTGTTACGTTGGCCTGGGTTCCAGGTCACGAGGGTCACAAGGGTAACGAAAAGGCAGATGAAAGAGCCAAGCAAGGCTCATCAATGCCATTCATAGGCCCAGAACCCTTCTGCGGCGTTGCAAAGGCGGTCACGAGAATGGCCACGGAACGATGGGTGGCCAACAAATCTGGTGGAGAAACTCACTAGTATGAAAAGGTTCATTGTAGAACATTCGCCAAAATTCACGGTAGATTTGATAAGCAAGGACAGAAAGACAGTCAGAGCAGTAGTAGGTCTACTAACAGGGCATTGTAAGCCAAATAGGCATCTAAAGCTAAAAGGATTGACAGACAAAGTCATGTGCAGGTTCTATCAATCTGAAGAAGAAACGTCAGAACACATTTTATGTCGTTGTGACAGCCTGGCAAATGTGCGGTTCCTGGGTATTAGGCAATGATGTCATTGCCATGGAGCTACATGGAGGGCCCGTCTCCAAGTTACAACTTGTAAAAGGGATAGGACTGAGAATGTAATCTAAGGATCAGTAGAGGACCACAATAGATCTGAGAAGGTCGAAGTGGATCAGGCCGAAAGCCACCTCTAAGATTCTAATCTATTGTTGTGCTGAATATAATCAGATAAAATACATTAAAAAACCAGAGTCGGAGTTCAAATTATTTTAAATAACAGTTAAATAGTTTTGTTACTGTTAAAGTACCCAAAACAAAAAATTAAGTGTGGCATTTCATTGTACTCAGGAGAAAAAATGCAGGTCCGTATTTAAAAATTAAGTTGGCCTCTGTATTTTACAAATTATCAGTTAATTTGGTGCAAATTTAAAATACCGATAGATCTGATAAAGTGGCTATGAAAATCGCAATTAGTTTTTTTGATTTTCTAAAAAGTAACGACGGAAAAATAAAATTGATTTTCAAAAAAAACTGTTTTTTTCCAAAAACTCAGCAAACCTTGAAATTTTGAAACTTTTGATGGCATCTTGGTGAACATTCTAGAGCGCAACTTGCTCCAATTTAACCATCTTCGTATCTATTACGGTTTCCGAGATACCAATGCTCGTACCTCAAATTTGTAGCACCAGACAGAATATACTTAGAAAGAACGGAAACTAAGAATTAAAAAAATTAAAAATTACCATAATGTAACATTAGTCAAAAGGTGGAAGGAACTTACTATTTCAGGTAAATTCACGTGATTGTTCACTAGTAAAATATTTGCCCACCAATTATTTCGACAATTTCTGTATTCATGACCCACAAACTCATCCCAATACGGCCCATTAAATGTATGAACTAACCATGTGCTGTGAAGGGCCATCACTACGAACATCGCAGGAACAATTCTAAAAAATCAAAATTACTATTTAAACCATCCAGAATAAAATAAAAACAACAAAAAAAAAAAAAACTTTTACTTTTACATTGATGCTGCAGTTGCTAACCATGTTATCACGATTATAAACCAGCGCCACCCACAAGTTGAGCGTTTATATACTCGTTCAGTGGGCACCGAGTGAGCGTGGCAAAATCTAGCCAACCGAGTCAGAGCCAACTGAGCGTAACAGTTAGATTTCCACCACTAGAGTAGTAGGAACAAAGAACTTGAAGGAATTGGACCGTTGACACTGTTCATACTATTTTTACATTTATTAATTCTGATGCTTTCAGACAAATATGTTTGTGGTTATCAATTCAAAATTTGTTAAGAAAATGTCCATTTTGAATAATAAGTTTAAAAAATTAAAAAGCTCTAAAAACAAACATGTTTTCCAAAGAGACATAAACATAGTAGAAAATCTTTCTTCGCAGACTTTTGATAAACAAGAGCTCAGTTTATTAAACAAAGGTTTAAAGTACGCATTGCCCAACTCTGGTAGCGTTTGGAGGAAATTGTCGTTGGTGTTGAAACTGCTATTCGGTACTTGCCCGAGGCTTCTAAAGTATTTACAAGAGAGGCTTGTAGAAATCAGTTATCAAAAATATCGTTTCCAAGTAATTCATTAAAATCTAACAAAGAGCACAATATTGTCAAGTGTTTGCGTAACAAAGATTGTTTCTATCTAAAAGCTGATAAGGGAAATAAGGTTGTTATATTAGATAAAAAAGACTATTACGATAAGGTTAACAACTTAATCGATAATGGCCCCTACATAAATTATTATTAAAAATTAATTATTATTATTAATTATATTATTATTAATTATATTATTAAAAAAACTCTAAAAGAATGTAACACCCTTATTGATCTTTCTTTAAAGAGGAAATTGCAAGTATCCAATAAAATTAGTTTGTAAAAAATACTTATTTTAAAAAAAAATTCATAAACCGGACAAGTCTATGCGCCCAGTTGTTTCGGCTGTAGGTTCTCCGACTTATAATTTGGCAAAATGGTTATCAAGGAAGTTCGAAAATTTACCTAACCATGAACCTTTCAGTTAAAATAATATTGAATTCATTAACAAAATTAAAGATATACACATTGCATGAAGGTGAAATTTTGGTCTCCTTTAATGTATCTTCGTTGTTCCAAGTGTTCCAATTCCACATACTTTAGGCTACTTAAAGGAATTACTGAACGCAAATGGTCCCGACAACAAAACTGTGATGGAATATATTGAGCTTACATCATTATGTATGAAACAAAATTGTTTTCAATTTAATAACAACTTTTTGAACAGCGGGAAGTACAGCAATGGGTAATCCATTGCCTCCATTTTTGGCTAATTTATTCATGAGCAGGTTTGAAGTGGAGGCTAAGAATCAGTATGAGTATTTTCCAAGAGTATGGTTTAGGTATGTGGATGATATTTTTGCTGTTTTTGACACACATTCAGACACCATAGATAATTTTATTCTAAGTTAAATAATCGTTTTCCTTCCATTAAATTTTCACATGAAATTGAGAACAACGACAGATTACCATTTCTAGATGTATTAGTTATTAGAAATACTAATAATTGCCTGAAATTTGATATCTAGGAAAAATACGACCACATGCAGATATATTCCTAATGAATCACATCATAGTGTTGAACATAAATGGCTAGTTTAAATTTTAGTTCGTAGATTACTTAGTTTCCTACTTTCCAAATCAGAAAGATATGAAACAGAAAGAGATTACATTAGGAATGTAGCTGAGTGTAATGGATATTCTCCTTCACTAGTTGATAAATTAATTAGAAAACGGTATAGGTTAATGATTTCTGAAAATTCGACTTTTCAAATGGAGAAAGACACGTCTAAATATTTTTCGATACTGCTTGATAGAGAGGTATCCCGTGGTCTAAAAGGAATTTTTAGAATGTCAATTATAAACTTGGTGTATAGTGCTAATAATAAATTACAACAATTATTAGGTAATCCAAAAGATAAACACCTCCACTGGAAAGGTCGGGTATTTATGAAATTTTGTAAAGATTGTAATCAGAAATATATACGCAAACTAGAAGATCAATATTAACTAGATTTAAAGAACATTTAGCTCAGATAAGATATGGTAGACTGGATAAATCTTGCGTTGCCGAAACATATTGTTGATAAAAAAAACAAATAAAAAAAATCTTAATAATTTAAAATTAATTAAACAAGTCTCAAATTACAGGCAATTAGATGCATATGAAAGCATCAGAATTAATAAATGTAAAGATAGTATGAACAGAGTCAACGGTCCAATTCCTTCAAGTTATTTCAACAAACGCTCAACTTGTAGATTGTACTTTAGTTTATAATCATCTGCTGATTATGCTAACATGGTTAGCGAAACGCGCGTCCAGTGTAAAAGTAAAAGTGTTTTGGTGTATTGTGGTGATTTAGTGTTTTTATTTTGCTGTGTAACACCAAAGGTTCCAACCCTCAACTGTAACCATCCAGAATGTTAAAATTTTCAAAAAATGTAGTATTTAAATATTTGGTCTTAAAAATTTAGTATTTGATTGTTATTCCATGTTCCAGGCCATATAAATCATTTTTATAATCACTGACAAATAATATGTAAGACAACTCAACTCTGTTACCTATTTTTAATACTAAAGAATATTCAATAATTGACAATGTATTTTTTTGAATGGGACCTACCAAACTGGACAAGAGTACTTGAGCATTTACAGCTTAAAAGTCTGGAGTAACAATCGCATAACTACAAATAGTTGTATTCACCTGATATATCTAAGAAATATGGCCCACGGGAAGAATGAGTTTGACAAAGTTTTTTTCTTCAATTTCATGTCGAAAAAGTTGTACGCTGTCAAAAATCCGGATATAACAAAAAACGATTGTACTATGTACCAACCGTTGGCCACCATCATGTTCAAGAATTTTTTCGTCATCTGAAAACATAAAGTTTAGAAAAGACTTCAAATATTATTTTGCTTCAAACAACTAATGGAAATATTTTTTTACTAAGTTTATTTTACAACACGGTAACAAGCAGGTTTTAGAAGCTGGTTAAGCACGATTATCACATGCATTAATTAAGAGAAACCATCAAATTCAACAAAAGAAGAATATGAACCTCCCACCTGAAGATGATAGAATTTGGAGAAGGCTTAATTCAATATCCCCATAACAATTAAAAGCCCGAAAACAATAATAAAAACAATAAAGCCCAGCATTAGACATCATCATCGTCTTTCCAGCTCCATTTATTGACATGCTTTATATAGAAATTCTCGCCAATACATACAAAGAAACCAAAGCAAGTTTAAAGATATATAAAACGTGGTTCTAACTAGCAAAGTTAATGACAGGGTGTCATGATATATCCCCAAAGCAGTTTACAGCAACACTAGAAGAAATCTTCCATCAACTGGACTAGGAATAAGCAGGGACTACAACAAAGGAATGAAAATAGATGGAGAATATCTAACCATCTAAAATTCGCATAGTTATAATTGCCAATAGTCCTAATTGCCAATAGTCTTGAAGAACTACACAAATAAATTAACGAATTAAATACAGCCAGCAATAAAGTAGGTCTCAAAATGAATTTAGCAAAAACTAAAGTAATGTACAATGAATTAGTAGAGAGAAAAGACATTCCAATAAATAACACAGCACTGGAAATAGTAGAAGAATATATATATTTGGAATATAGATATCTATAAAATGCTCTCTCCAATGAATTCCAAATGTGAATTCCCAATCCCCATGTCGGTAATCAGCAAGAAATATGGCCTGACGTATTAGGAAAACGTAAATAACAATGGTGAACGCTTACTAACACCATGCACAATCTTTGCATCACTAATACATGGTTCAAGCTGAAAGACAACTTTAAAGGTACCTGGAAACATCCCAGATCAGTGGCGGATAGAGAGGGGGGGCCATGGGGCCCGGTCCCCCCCCCTAAAACCTGTAAGTTGGGTTAAATATTAGCCTTTAAAAATTACATCCTAAAAGGCATATTTTACATTATTTTTGATTTGCCCCCCCCCTAAAATAAATTTCTGTATCCGCCCCTGTCCCAGATCAGGCCACTGGCCTGATCTGGGACATATATATTTGGCTCAACTAATAGACAGCTTGGGATCTCTCTATATATATATATATATATATATATATATATATATATATATATATATATATATATATATATATATATATATATATATATATATATATATATATATATATATATATATATATATATATATATATATATATATATATATATATATATATATATATATATATATATATATATATATATATATATATATATATATATATATATTAACCGGTTTAAAACGTCCTACGTCTTCCGATGCCATCCCTCCATGCCTGTCTGTCTCTCCATGCACCGTCTCCGAGAGATCTTTCCTCCACGTGTCAATCCCTTCCTGTCAACTTCTTCTGGGTCTACCCGGTTTCTTCTTCTTGCAGGTTTCCAGTTTATAATTTACTTTGGGATTCTTATTTCTGCTATTCTTTGGACATGCCCGTACCATATGAGTTGACTGTTCTTTATGTCGTCCACTATCGTATGTTTAATTTCCATAATCTCTCTTATGCGTTCAATAGTTATTCGCTCGAGTCATGATTTGCCTGCTGATCTTCTCCTCCAAAAATCCATCTCTGTAGCTTCCAGCATTCGTTTTGTTGTTTCCTTAATGGGCCACACTTCACAGCTGCACGTGGTTATACTCTTTATGATGGAATTCAATAGTATCCCATTCAATACCGTGATAGCATTCCTTCCAAGTTGGTTTCGTTCTTTAATTGCTGCATCCAACAGTCCATCATTTGTGATTTCCCTAATACCCAAATATTTGCATTTTGTGCAGCACTTAATTTTTTTCCCTTCTAGTATTAGATCTTGTTTTTCTCCTCCGATAATATATATTCTGTTTGTTGTAGTATTGATCTCGAGTCCCCATTTCTGATATTCTTCTATAAGCTACGTGTCATATAATTTACGTCATCGTAATCTTGTGCTATGTTCACCTGATCGTCCGCGAGGCAAAGTGTGTAGAGCATCCCCTATGGGTACTCCCTTATTTCTACATTTTTGCTTCTAACCTTTGAGAACTTGATCGAGATATATCTTGAACAATGTTGGTGATATACAGCACCCTTGTTTCAGACTCAGTCCCATTAAATCCTGTTAACTTTTTGCCGACTTTTATTCTTCTAGTTTTTGTTTGTTTATATAACGATTTTACTGCTTTTATATTAGCTCTACATTTATTGGTTTTTTCCATAGCTTCCCAAAGTCTCACAAGGGGAACGCTGTCGTATGCCTTCTGCAGGTCCACGAACACAAGATGTAGCTCTTGGTTTAGATTGCTCTTTTTACTTATTACTTGAGTGACTGTAAATAAGTGGTCCACCGTCGATCTTCCGGCTCTAAATCCTGCTTGTTCTTCGGCTTCTATTTCTTGGTATTCGTTTTCGATCCTATTTCTCGCAATTTTTCCATATTCTACCCACGGTGGCTGTTACTGATATTCGCCTCTAGTTTTCGCACTTAGTAAGATCTCCCTTTTGAAGATAGTTGATAGGTAAGCCTCATTCCATTCTTGTGGCACATCCGTTCCGTTTATGCAGTCCTGGAGTATTTTCCTTAAGTGTTCGTACAGTTTTTCGGTCCTGATTTAATTAACTCTGCCGGTATATTTCCCGGTCCAGGTGCTTTACGATTTTTTAGCGAGGTACATGCCTTAATTACTCCGTCCATTGATATTCTAATCGGGGATCCCATTGTTCTTATATTTGTCGTCACGTCAGGACAGTCCATAAATTCGACTCTATTTTCCGTCATAAGATTTTCCATGTATTATTCCCATTTTTGTGGTGTAATCGGGGACATGATTTCTTTGCCTTTTGCCTTTCTGACATTTTTATAAATTTCCAACTTTCTGTGCTTCTTCTACCTCCTATATATGTGGTTAGTTGATTACACTTCTTTTCCCATATCAGATTTTTCTTCTGTCATATTTCGTACTTAGCTGGGCTTTTTATATATTAGTTTGTCTTCGATCTTCTTGGTGCTCAAGTATTTTGTATATTTGCGTCTTTTATCCTCTCTATAATAGATCCTGTATAACTTGGAATCACTACCAGAAATTAGCAAAATAATTAAGATAGCATGGAGTACTTATGGAAGAAACTCAGCATTAAGAGAAGAAGCATTAAGAACTAAGAGACCTAGAAAAAGAAGAAACCTAAGATAGATAGATATTAAGAAAATAATAGGGATAACTTGGGCCTGCATAGTCAAAGTAAATAGACAAACAATTCAATTACAAACAGAGTATCTAAATATGTGATGGAGGTTACACTATAATTGGAAAGTAGTAAGTAATTAGTGAGGAAGTCTAGAGACGAGATCTGGATCTGGAGACGATCCCAAAATGAATAAAAATACCAAACATCTAACTATAGTTCTTTTGTAAATCAAAACATAAGATCTGAAAAACGCTACAAAGGCATATGATTCCGTTGATTAAATAGTTTCATTAAAACATGTTTATTCTTACGTCTTCTGTGTAACGTGTGTTAGATATTGGTCCAGAAAATATGCCCAGTAGTGTATGAGACATAACTATACAAAACATTGTATAGAATCTCATTCCTTGCAAAGGTCGTAGCTTTATGTGGTCGGGACTTGTGGGTATCGACATCAGTCTTTTCCAATTTTTGTAGAAAGAGAAAGCTTCCAATATTTTCCCCACTAAAAAATAAAATTAATTAATTTAATTATGATCAGTTTTAGTAAAATTACGAAAATCTGTTAATTTTTTTTGCAAATTTTTGAAAAAAATTGACAGTTTTAGCAAAACATAATTTCTTCGAAATCCAGAAAAGATCCAGTGATTCTCAAAATCTTCAAAGTAAAACAACTCGGTTATTTTGGACTTATTTAAGACTCGCCTTGTATACTAAAACATTAATTTTCTGACATCATACATTTTTAATAAGGATAACCATGGGATAATCTCTTAAAGTTTTTTAAATTTGATTTAAAAAACACTCTGTATATTTTGAAAATTAACAATATTTATACTTACCAGTTGAAATTTTCTTCAAAGATGAATTTCTCAATACCATTCTTTCATAGAATGAGGCAAACATAACAAACAGTACATAGAGTGTCAAAAGAGCACTAAAAGTAAAATCTTATATTGTACTGGTTGGATAAATTTATACAAAAATAGATTTTAGTTTAAAGGCGATGCATATGAATATCTACAGGGTGTCCCAGAAATAAGTGCAGTGTATTTGTTGGTGAGGTAGATCTCGATATTAAAACATATTTTCTCTTATCGTTTTTCAAATAAGTCGAAAATAACGGATTTATTTAACTTTGAAAATTTCCAAAAATGATTTTTTGTTAAAATTTTTTTTGTTTGTTTTTTTTTCTGGATTCTCTTTCTTGCAAATTTAATTCCATTATACCTATGTTGCCATTATCAAGAAATTAGTTTTATTTTTAAAAAATAATAATTTCTTAATAAATTAGTTTTTATTTAAAAATAATACTTCCAAAAAAAAAAAATTCAAATAAATTTCGAATTTTCCTTTGATAATATGGCAACATAAATAGTAAACTAAATTCACAAAAAGAAAACGCCAGTGGTTTTCAAAATGTAAAGTAAAATAACTCGATTATTTTGAACTTATTTACGGTAAAGAGAAAATAAGCTTATTTTATCGAGACAGCTCTGGAAATATTTGCACAAGTATTTAAGACTCACCCTGTATAGACAATTAAAATGTAAATTAAAAAACAGAATACATATTAGAAAAAATATGTTAATATTCTTACACAAACCATCATATACATCAGTTAAGTATTTAGATTTTGGATCCTTGACAGTTTAGAGCATTTTCCCAGAAAATCCCGAAGGAAGCATTTTCCGCCTGTAACAGTTCTGGATAGCTTCTGCTGTGGTACGAGCTGTTTTGTAGTCATCCTGACAACTTGTTGGTACACATATTCCATGACGCAAATTTCTGTGGTTGTAGTTTTGAGGACTGGAGCTGACATTCTGTAAACACAATACTTTCATATAAAAATAAATGGTCATCAGGCGAAAATATAATTCAACAATCCATTTCAATTTGGGTTATTTTATATTAGCTAAGTATTTATTGAAATGGCTTAGGATATTAATAGCTTATTGTATATGCTTATGGCTTTATGTATATACAGAGTGGCCCATCGGAAACGTTCCGCAAGGCATAACAGGCAGAGTAATTTTTTTTCAGAAAATTCAAAAAACACGTCGATTTTGTATGTGAGGGGGACAAATTTTGTCCCAGAAACATTGCAAATCATAACTCTAAGCGGGGGTGTCATCCCCCAGTTGTTTTCAAATGGGAAGAGGCCGCGGTACCGTAATGAAAAGGGCTTTCAATTCTCTATACTTTCCCGCTTCGTTTTTGAAAATCGGTCGAGTCATTGAGAAAATATGAAGGATTGAAATTTGAAAAGTAAATGATTTATCAGAGCAAATAATAAGGATAAATTCCTTCGACCAATTTGGTGGTTGTTTTTCTTTATTATTTAGATGTTATACGCATTTTTTCACTTGCCACAATGCTGCTGGACGATCAGGTGCGGTAGTAGCTAGATAGCTGTTCTGTGACTTGTGTTCTTCTCAATATTGTTTAACTTTTTGAATAATTATGTACCAATATGCAGAAAAAGTGGAAATGAGTTCCACCCGTACAAAATTCAGTTGGTTCAAGAACTCAATGAAGACGATTTTGACCGTCGCTTGCAATTTTGCGAAACTATGAGTGAACGAGTGGCAAATGATAATAGTTTCCTATTTAATGTGTGTTTTTCGGATAAATGTACTTTCTTTTGAACGGTGTAGTTAATCGGCATAACTGTCGGTACTGGGCTGGGCTGAGGACAACCCCAGGGTTTTTCACGAGGTGCAAAGGGTTTACAGAACCCTCAGAAATTGAAAGTGCGGGCTGGTATTTTTGGAATTTCTATTGTGGGGCCTTTTTTTTCTCCCTAGAAATATAACAGGTGATATGTACTTGGATTTACTGCAAAATACCATCGACCCAGCCCTAACTGACATCATAGAGAACAGTCCAGGATACGTTGAAGCCGAACTAATATTTCAACAAGACGGTGCACCTCCACATCACTTTCAAAATGTGCGTAATTATTTAAATAATAACTTCCCCGGTCGGTGGATAGGACGAAGGGTGCAATTGAGTGGCCTCCCCTGTCACCCGACTTGACTCCTTAAGACTTTCTTCTATGGGGACACATAAAAAGTAAAGTGTACAGCACTCCACCCGCCTCATTAGAAGACCTGCGAAGACGAATTATTGATTTTGGTCGCGAAGTGACACCGCAAGTTCTTCAGAATGTTCAAGAACGGTTTGAAAATAATTTGTATTACTGTATGGAGGTTGACGGGCCACATTTTCAGCATTTGCTTCATTAATAAGGTAAGTTTTTTTAATTAACCACCATGTTTGCAAAAAGTACTTTTCAAATTTCAATCTCATATTTTCAAAATGACTCGACCGATTTTTAAAAACGAAGCGGGGAATATAGAAAATAGAAAGTCCTTTTCATTGCGGCCAATCGACTCTTCCCAGTTGAAAATGTTGGGGATGTACACCCCTGCTTAGAGGAAGTTAAAGATTTTAAAATTTTGCGTCAAAAGTTGCCCCCCTCAAACAAATTGACGTGTTTTGGATTTTTGAATAAAAAATATACCTTTGGCCGTTGTTTTGCGGAACGTTTTCGATGGGCCAAATCTCTGTATGTTATATTATATACTATGGGGGCCGAGTACTTTTATTATTTACCAATTATTGTTAAATATTTAAGTTCCCAAAAAATAACTGTTTTTTTAATTATTAAAGTTTGGTAAATCTTTTGGTCTAAATGGATAGTCATTTAAGACTAAATGACGTCACAACCGGGTTTGGCCAAAACAATATTCTGACTAATAAACCCAACACATATGTTATTTAAATAAACTAAATTAAAATAACATAATTTAAATTTTGAATCAGAACTAACACACACAATCTTCTTTTACTGAAATAATTTATTAAATTTTAAAAAATATATATTCAAATATAGAAGTATTTATTTAAAACTAGGTAACTATCAAAATAATGTGAATATTATGAGATATTAAGTGTCAAACTGGTTTGTTTTATATAAATAAAAAATCGATTGGTGTGCAGTGTTATGAGTAGATTCTTCTAATAAATTCAGTTCCAAAAACTCTTTACCATATTGTCATGGGTCATGGTAATTTTTATAGTTACCTAATGGATTCATAGGATTAAATTTGGAGAAAATAAATATTCAATAGATTGAGGTAGGTACTGTGGTCTGAGATTATCGCACTTTGTGTGAGTATATATTTTCAAAACAAAATAATACAAAATTTTAAGATGACTGTCATCAGGGGATCTAATAATTGTTTATTTGAAATTTGATATGAATTTGATCAGTAAACATGATCACAAATTTTAAACATAAGTACCTATTTTTTATCAATATTCGAACAAAAAATATATAAAAATACTACAGCTTCGAAAGATACCAAATAGAAAGAGATTACATTAGGAATGTAGTTGAGTGTAATGGATATTCTCCTTCACTAATTGAAATAATTAGAAACGTAGGTATAGGGTATAATGATTTCTGAAAATTGACCTTTCAAGTGGAGAAAGATACGTCAAATTTTTTTCATACCATTTGATAGAGAGTTATCGTGGTCTAAAAGGAATTTTAAGAATGTCAATTATAAAACTTGTGTATAGTTAATAATAAATGGCAACAATTATTTGGTAATCCAAAGGATAAACACCTCCACTGGAAAGATCGGGTATTTATGAAATTCTTGTAAAGATTGTAATCAGAAATATGTTGGGCAAACTATAGAAGATCAATATTAACTAGATTTAAAGAACATTTAGCTCAGATAAGATATGGTGGACCATATAAATTTGGTGTTGCCGAACATATTGTTATAAAGAACATTGTATAGATCTTAATAATTTAAAATTAATTAAACAACTCAAATTATAGGCAATTAGATGCATAAGAAAGCACGAACTAAAAAAAGATAGTATGAACAGAGACAACGTTCCAATTCCTTCAAGTTCTTGTTCCTTTACTACTCTATTGGCGGAAATTTAACTGTTAAGCTCGGTGGGCTCCAACTCGGTTGGCTAGATCTTTCCACGCCCACTCGGTGCCCACTGAGCGAGCATATAAACGCCTAACTTCTAGATTGTATTTTAGTTTATAAACATCTGCTAATGATGCAAACATGGTTAACGCAAGGCCCAGTGTAAAGTAAAGTGTTTTCGGATCTGTGGTGATTTAGTGTTTTTTATTTTGCCAAAAATACTACCTGTATGGTATTCCAAACAGTATTATTATCTGATAGAGGCTCTAATTCAAACGTAAAAGTGCAGTACAGTGCTTCTTGTTTCCTTAACATACAATGGTCAAAGTTGTCCAAATAAAACAACTCTGGCATAAGGCTGTATTGTTCATCTGAAACATAAATATGTCTATTTATCCGATGTTTAATTTTGTAGTAGCTAGAAAAGGTTAAAGTGTTATTTTTTCTGATTTATTATAATTTTCTTCCAAGTGAATTGAATGAAATTTGGAGGATAAAAGTTACTTATGAAAGCTTGCATATTGTAATGCTGAAAAAGTGTCAACAGATACACCAGTGACGTGCATATGAGTTATCACGGAATATTTTTGCACGTCCCTGGTGAACTGCCGGCGCGTCGGTAGTTAAAAGGCGACAAGTGACAAAACCATAGTTTCTAGAAAAATGGCACAAACTTTGTGATGTTGTCCTTCACTAATGCTAAGAATATATACATTCGATTTTATTGTTCAACACTAATTGGATATACTATGTTTAGTTATTTAGAGTGAGCAATACGTAACTGAATTGAT